ATTATCAATATTTTGCTGCCTTTCATGAAATTTTTGGCTAAGTTATAATAATGAGTGCGCAGTACCTCAATGCCTAACTCTTCATATATTCTATTATTCCTTACATACCATTCAGCATTTACAGTAGAACAGTATTTTGGCAGACTTGCAATCTTTTCCTATTAGTTTTTCTGTTACCGTAATTTCAGGTAGATAAGCCACCCTGACGTGTACGCCGCATACATGATAATTGACTGAAAAAACATAAAAGGTCATCAGATAAGCTGCACCGCTGGATATGCCACAGCCAAGCATTCCGAAGTATGGCAATTAATATTCATTCATTCAGTAATTCCCTGCCATATTGGTGTAATCATCATTGATAACATTTACAGCATAAATATAATCAGTAATATATAAATAAAGAAGAAACATCTTACCTTGAACTTGCCGAAAACAAACTCATAGTTTTAGGATGATTTCTAATATGTTATTTTTATGTTTTCGGTAAACTCCGTTTATCAGCATAAATTACCACATTATGAAAAAGAATGCATAACTTAGATAAACAAACAGAATTTTCAAATTAAATTAAACTACATTTATTTATACAAAACCTTCAAAACCCGACTCATCAATGTCTGATTAATAAATTTAACAAATGACCATCAAGGTCGTTTCAGATTCTGTTCTAAATCACTTCTTTCACGTCACCATCTTCTTTCATTTTCTTTTTCAATGATTTCCGATTTAATGAATCGACGATTCGGTCAGATCGACCTATGCCATCCTTATCGACCCATAAGGCAGCCTCCTCATACAAGCGTTTCATTCATCCAGAATTTGTGAAGGAATGGAGTCCGCTTTGCATCCATTCCTCCCCACTGCTTTCGTATTCGTGCTTGAAAGTTCTATTGATAGTGAAATCTAGCGGCTGTAAAATTTTTGTAAGCCCACCTGGTATCATGGAGACATCGTGCTAAGTTTTTGCTATAAACTTACCGTACGCTAAAGGGGATCGCATGATCCCAGAACAATGAGTCCTCGTGGTTTAAAAATGCACTTTCTTTTTTCCGATAAAGTTCTCTCAGCCAAAACAACATCACTTCTTCGCACATCATCTTTTTCATAGCTCAATAATAACTCATTTTGGAAGTTCCTTTCGATTTTTTTTCTTTTAAAATTATCAAAGTTTTAACTTTTTCTCATTGGCGGCACAATCCAAAGCAAGTAAAAGAAGGATTTCATTCCGGTTGTTAACACTGAAATAGTTTCCCTTATTGAATGAACAGTTCTGCTCGGACGACAGTCAAAGTAACGGGCACTTCGTCCATATCTTATCTTCATCATCGCTTTTCAAATTTTGTTCTTTTAATTTCTTAGATGTGTATCCAAAAAAGCCTTTTTTTTCAACCAGACACTGGAATCTTTTGTCAACTGTTTTTGGTCTGAACGGATAATTGCTTTCGCTTCATGAACCTAAACACCAATAGTCCTCCAACAAAAATTTTTAATGCCCATTGTTGAGCTTTAAAAATTTTGTTGTTGACCTTGCTTGAAGCGAATCTAACTGTTGATACTGATAATCCACCTTTCTCTCTGCTCTATTCTCCATTTCTCAAAATTGTCCTCCAAAACAGGCCAGGCTATGACACCAGTTGACGAGATCTTTATCTTAGGCATTTTCTCTAATTCTTCTTGTTCAGACTTCCACCGCCGAACGCATCGCTCGTCAACTTGAAATTTAGCCACAGTGGTATTTCTAATTTCGATGGCTTTCTTCATTGCCTAAAGCTTAAAAGCAGATGTATAACTTTTTTTTTTTGAGTAGAAGCCATAACAATAATAATATTTTTAAAGCGCAAATGATAAGGCAAACAAAAAGCAAGCTACAAAGCAGTAAAAACATCTATGAATGAACATAGCACTTGGCAAGTAAACGTAGCTCTTGCCAGTAAAACAAAGAGTGATAGGAAAATGCAGGGAAAACCATGGAGTTTTAGGAGGAAGTACATGCATTACAGTGTCTTTACAGAGAGCGCCACCTACTTTGGTGAGTTTGAACTCATTGCACTGCCTTAGCGCAATCTGAGATTAGAATATTGCAGCAAATTCTTTCTGCCTCGCTTTCCTGCGTTACTTGCGATTTGAATTAGCGAAGTTTTAAGGTCAGAAAAAAATAAATTTCCCTCAGATGCGCCACTCCCCCGCAGAGCAGCGTTAAATTGATAAACAGATTTCAGAATGGTTAGATAAACAAAGGATATGCCTTTATCCATTTTTTGCAGCAATTCCATTTTTGCTTGATGGACATCAAAACATGCTTCCGCTTTGTAGATCCTTTGGCAACTCCAGAATCGGAAATTCTTTTTGACATAATCGAAAGTTCAAGCTTACTTTTATAAAATTGCTCTATTAGTCTGCAAAAAATAATAAGCCGGATCCAATTAGAAGATTAAGGAACTACGTAATCTGCAACATTAACTGAAATACATAATTGGATAATTTTAGCTTAGCCTATACTGTCCGTTATACATTAAACGCGTGTGCGTAAACGCGTTATGCATTTACGCATGAGCAGAAAGTTTGTAGCTTTGAGGTCCGGATTATAGATCATTCTGGATTATGGACGTCCGGATTAAAGACTTTTGATTGTATATGTAATATTGTGGCAGTCAGGCACAGGAATGACGAAGCTTGGCATCAGAGTGAAATGATGACACAGAAGAAATTAACTTTATAACTCCATATCTTTATTCAATTCAAACAGCAGATCATTATTCTTTTAGATTAAATTCTCCAAAATTACATATTCAGTAGTGATTTAAACTAATTAAGATTAACTTTAAATTTACTTCATCATACTATTCGAACAAAGAAAGACAGATGGGAAGAGTGGCAGCAAAGGTCTGATAGCAGTAGTAGGAGAAAGCAGTCTGGCGAAAAATAGAGTGAACTGTGTATTTATACGAGCAGTTATATAACATGCAAAAATGTTCTCGAAAGTACTAGTCTAGGGGGGAGACCCTGAAATTGCGGAAAGGTAATTAGAGGTTGCCTGTTCCCATAGAGCAAAGGTCATATTTTTTATATTTTACATCTCCCCCTCTCAAAACAAGAGGCCGGTAGAGTAAAGCATTAGTAAAAAATATGTAAATCAAAATTATAATTTAAACTAAAGGTAACTCTTTAATTCTTCTCTGTATTTTAAAAATCCTAATAACTTCTCTGGATTGCGTCATTTCTAGGTTATTCTATTTTGCATGGCCTGTGCAGTGCTGATGACGTAATAATAGGGAACTAAAATTTTAAACTTAAACCAAAACCTTTCTCTTCGTGTGCTTCCAACTTGTATAACTACACACTTCAGCTTCTGTTTGTGTTCTGCTTGGACGTAATTTTGCTATACTCTTTTCTATTGCAATAATATCAAAAATAGAAATGTTCTTGAATAGGCACGTCTAGAATGCCAAGTGATTGTGGCCACAAATGTCAATTGCAGATAAAAAATGGAATTAAAACTGCCTTGACTGCCAAGTTATTTAGATATTACAAAGTCAACATATTAGCATACTATGCAATCAGAATTATTTTTCAATATGGATCTATGATGTATCGCATATAACTATTATGCATCAACAGTGTTCCGGCTTTTCCTTGCTATTATTACATTTCATATATATCCACTCTGTTGCTCGACTCGGTGATCTCAGTTTCTTTATTCTTATATGTTTGTAAATTGTGCATTTTTTGCTTTAAAAATGATTGAATTAGATTGTTCTTATCTTTCGGTTAAAGTTTTTATGCCTTTAGTAAATCTGCATGTTATAATTGTAAAATTATTAGCTGAAATTTCGCTAGAATTTATGGGGAGAAAAAAAAAAAAAAAAAAAAAAAAAAAAAAAACCGAACATGCAATATAATACTGCCCCAGTATCCAAACCTAAACCTTGAATTTTTTAACATTGAAATTTAACTTTGGATTTTTTAACCACCTGTCGTTTTTAACATTATAACATTTTTTAAAATTAGATAACTACAAACATTCTGCTGTTGTTCTTGCTATTCTTGTCAAGTTTTTAAAATATTAGAAGTAACAGTCACTGTTCAGAAGTCAGATATAGTTTTCTTTGTTTTAAAAAATATAAAAGTTGTGACTTTTTTTAATAGCAGCAAGTTTTTTTATTTGCATTTCCCAGTATGCAATAGATATTGAACAAGGAATAGAATTGGAATCCCAATGACTTCGGTTTTAGCATTTTGAGGTCACTCGACACAAGTTTTAATGTAACAATAAATATCTTAGTAATAATAGGAAATTAATTTAAAGCAGTTATACAGCAAAATAATATAAATTTCCAAGAAATATATTTTATGGTAAAGTTATACAAAATTTTATTTCTTATCACTATTTCTGCTCAGCGTGAACTGTTTTATTTTGCCCTAGTACCAGTTTTTCCGTACAAATCCATTATGGCCTAGATTCATCCAGTAATTTTATATTCTTATTAAATCTCTGTTAATATTCTCGAAGCTATACTGTTTCGTGGTATAAATTTAAATTTAAAAATCTGGATTCAGTTTGAAAGAGTAAAGTGTAAAAATAAAATGCTACTCTTCTGTAATCGAAGTCGGATTCAGAAATGTAGGCATATATGTATGGATGTGTTTATGTATGCATTTCTGGATTTCTGAATCCAGTCCCAGAAATGGAAGAATACCAATGAAATTATGGAATGAACATGATGTAAATTTTAAATCTGAATTCAAATGTTCCCCCATTAACCCATCTATATATTATGTTCTGTTTTCTTAAATTTGACTTCATAGTGAATACTCCTAGAAATATTGATCATTAAATCGGATTGTAATTACGGTCAGTATTTTGACTAATGTAAATGTAACTACTACTATTAAAGTGATTTTGAATATCATAAATGCCATTATGTCTGTCTTTTGTTATATTAAAATTTTCGTAAATTTTTTCAATAATTGTGTAATTTTAATCATTCTTCTCTTAGTTTGTGAAGGTTCAGTTGTAGATAATGTTGGTGCCATTCAAAACTATTATGGCTGCACATATATCAAGGGATCTTTGGAAATAACAATCAAGGGTGGTTGTAAGTTGTTTTAGCTTTTTCTTAAAGCTATAAAATCTGAAAATTATGCATATTTATAAAAAATTAATGTGATATTTATTGTATTGCTTATTCATCATAAATGATAATAGTGGTTTAGTAAAAATAATTGACTGTAATGTATTTTTAAATGCTCTGGTTTTCTATCTGAAAATATGAATTATGGCTTGATTTTAATTTAGGATCTTACAAGCTTTTAGAAATATATTGTTATTTCCTTATAGTGTGTGAAAAAATGAATTTTATTAATTATATATGTTTTTCTTTATTTAGCTAATGTGATAAAGGAACTTGAAGAAAACATGGATAAGATTGAAGAAATCCAAGGTTATTTGAAAGTTGCCCGTTCATTTCCTTTAGTATCATTGAATTTTTTAAAATCACTTACTACTATTCATGGAGAGAGCTTGGATAAGAAAGAGTAAGGTTCTTAGTTTTTTAGTGAGTGAACTTCATGTGATTTGAATTATTCATTGGGGCTCTGTTCAGTGTTTTTAGTTAACACGTTAAATTTCCATGCTTGAATAATTTATTTACCCAATATTGATGTATGATTATTTTGTACTGGTGTGTTGTAATGTTTCATCCGTTTGATGTCACTGTTATGTAATTATTTACATTAAATTGTTAATAAGTATGTATTAGCTAATTATTTTGTGTGTTATAAATGAAACTAACAAATTATTCTAATCTGAGAATAAATATTTTTACATTTTTGTCAGCTATACTACTTAATTTATATTCCTAGAAATGTTATCAGATATGCCAGCCATCATCGTATTTAATATTTTCATTTTACATTTAATGTGTGTATGTCAATTTTTTCCCCTGTGTGATTAAAAGAATTGTGCTTTCTTCACAACAGTTCAAATATTCAAAGGTTAAGTTGTTTTTTATAGTTGTTGATTTTATTATGCTTATGTTCATCTTGTATTTTATATCTGCCTATATAACTTATAAACAGTACTTTAAGAAAAATTTAAAAAGGGTTAAATGGAGAAGAACTTGCATTTGGGTAAACTTCAGATTACAATCAGACATCTCAGAAAGGTGTCTAAGAAATAAATATGTAAGAATTTATAATATAAATGCCTAATTGATAAAAATTAATATATTAATAGTAAGTAAAATTAAAGTTGAATTCAGTGAAAGCATTTTAGTTATGAAAGTTCTTAATTTTATTTCTTCATTTCTTTTTTTTAATATTAAAATATCAAAATTTTGAAAAAATGCTGTTATAAAAAAAAAAAAAAAAAAAAAAAAAAAAAACCTGTTGCATTAAAAAAAATTTTTAAATGGGCAGAGTGAGAGCATTATAGCATGTATATTGTTAATGAAATTTTATCATAGTCATTGGATTTTATTTTTGTTGCAGATATAGTACATTTAAGAACTAGAGTTAAAATTTTTGCAATTAGTGTAACTTATCTGACTTGTTTGCAATCAGATGAAATAAGTGAGTCTTGAGACATTCCAGAATAAAATCTTGAGTAAATTTGGTCTTCAATGCAACGAAAGTTTGAGAGGAAGTGTGAAGGTGTAGGCTGGGAAGAGCTGTCTTTGAGGCATAGAGACAGTGGCGTAGCGAGGGGGGGCAAGGGGGTGCATGATGCCCCGGGCGCCGCTCGTAGAGGGGCGCCAAATGGTCTCCAAACAAGTGTTTCCGAAAAATTTCAGTTTTTATTTTGATCGATTTCTGGAAAATATATTTAAAATTAATAACTATTGTAATATAATTAATTATTTATTTTCTTGATTTGTCTGGTAAAATGTGTAATAAAATGTTTGCAGTACATCAACCAAAACGTTCTTCCTGACCACTTTATTTCTCCAAAGCAGAGATATATTTGTATTTTTTAAACGAAATGCACGTATATCTCCTGCTTTTTATTTTAAAACGATAACACGACCTTGTCCCGAATTTCTCAAACATATCCAGTTTCCAAAATCCGATTCCATAATCTGGAAATGACATTTTGGGAAAATCCTAACGCTTCCACTACAATGGATTGAGTTTGACTCTCCTGTAAACAACTGATGGCCTTCCTGGCTACCGATTCAACTAAGTCATCTTGCTGGGACATCGTATATTTACTGCTACGAAGCATTCAACACATGTCAATTGTTTTTAATCTCCTATTACAAAAGGAATACCGCAGGTCGCTCCTTACTCCTTATCTAAAACGCATAGTTTTCGACGTCACAGACAAAATTTGCATATTCCCATCTTTGTAAACGTTATAATTTTCCTTTATAATCTCTTCTATTTCCTTTTGTTCAAAAAGGTTGTCGATTATATGGTTATTTCATACCGACCCCACCCCCAATTGTTTATCCCCTAATTGAATGTGACTGCATGAACGACTGCATAGACGTTACCTCCGCAGTAGAAAAGAAACGGAACCTAAAACTCCACTATAAATCTATAGAGAAAATGTTTTTCCAAACCTAAGACTCGCACTTCAAATACTACTTACTATTACATTATCAACTGCTAACTATGATAGTTCATTCAGCAAATTCAGCATCTTTGATTGTAAATATTTTCACATATTTACAATCAAAGATGAGACAAGATTTAAGTCATCTAGCATTTTTAAGTGTGGAAAGAGAAAAATTTGAAAGGATCGACTTTGATGAAGTAAATAATAAATTTGCTTCATCCAAGGTAAGAAAAATGTATACATAGTAATTAATTGTATTCATGTATTATATTATTATTAATAAATATAAGTGCCCGACCAAGTCGAGGTGCACGTGATTGAAGCGAGATGAGGGCAAATTAAAATTTTTAAGTTGGCTGGTGGTGTGTCTGACAATTTTAGATCTTTGGCACTCCAAGCACGAACATGTCCAGTTGGCTATGTCCTTTTGCATGCTAGGCCATACGAAACATTGCTGTATCAGTTTCCTCGAAGCCTTGATGCCAGGATGTGACAGACGATGTAACTGACTAAAAATGGCATGGCGAAATCTGGAGGGAACATAAGGTCGAAATCTTAAATCCTGAACATCACAATAAAGTGATTTTTCATGTGACAGCTGCATAGGCTGCAAGTTGAGATTGGTGGAAGATTTGCTTTTCAAGAAGGTTTGTAGTTCTCTGAATCCTGGTGTTGTTCATCCGCAAAGGGCAGCAAACTTTATTGGCGAAGGAACGGCTAGTTCTTCAATACGAGACAAGGTGTCTGCAACAATATTCCTGTGAACCCTCAATATAACGGATAGCTGTTGAAAATTTGCCCTATGAAGTCTAGGGTGTCTCATTTGACAAGGAGGAGGTAGTTTTATCCTGTTGAAAAGCATAGGTTGTGATCTGTGAAGATCATGAAAACGTGTCCCTCTAGCATATGTCGAAAATATTTGACAGCTTCATAAATTCCTAATAATTCATGATCGTAAGTGCTGTATCTGGTTTGTGCTGGGTTTAGACGCTGAAGGATACTGCAAATTTGTTGCCAACATTAAATCATTTTTGCATTTTTGGAACGTTTCGCGGGATTTTGCGGTCCAGGTTAAAACACGTTTATCGTTTTTCTTGCTGCCAACTAAAAAAGAATTTAGAGGTGCTTGTATCGTCTCTGCATGAGGTAAGAAACGTCTATAAAAATTGAGCATAGCAAGCAATCTTCTTAATTCCTTCACTGTAGATGGTTCGGGCGTATCTCGGATAGCGGTGACTCTATCTGCAAGGTGTCTAACGCCATCAGCCAAAATTTCATGACCAAGAAAGGATACTCTTGGTTGACGGAAAACGCATTTGGAAGGATTAAGACTGACACCGTACTTTTGAAAACGTTCAGAAACTGTTCGCAAATGTGATAGGTGTTCTTGCTCTGAAGAGGAGGCGATTAAGACGTCATCAAAATAAGGTACACGAAAGTCGAGGCCGATTCACACCTGATTCATGAAGCGTTGGAACGTTTGAGCAGCACTGCATAAGCCGAAAGTCATGACCGGAAACTCAAATAGTCCAAAAGGCGTAATAACCGCAGTTTCAGCTGGGTTAACGGGTTAACAGCTGGGAATATCAACTGGGTTAACGGGCACTTGGTGATACACCCGCTCAAGATCAAGGGTTGTAAAAATAGCTTTTCCCTCTAAAACTTGCATACAATTCTGAATATGCAGGACTGGGTAACGATCAGGAATTGTAGCTGCATTTAAACGGCGATAATCGCCACTTACCATTTCGTTTCCGAACTAGATGGAGAGGACTGGCCCATGAACTTTTTGAAGGACGGCAAATTCCCTGTCCCATCATGTATTGAAATTCCTCTTTGGCGGCTTTAAGCTTGTCCGGAGGTAAGCGTCTTGGTTTAGCGGCAATTGGACGTCCGTTAGTTTCAATATAATGTAGTACATCGTGCTTGGGTGTAACTGGGCGCGTGATTGTAGGAATTCTCTGAGAAGTTGATGCCATGGGGAGTTGCCCGAAATCAGTTTAATGCTCAAATCTTGACTATTGCGAATTACTCCCGGATAAGTTAAGTTGGTTGTGGAATCTATCAAACGGCGATTCTTAAGATCGACAAGCCAAGAAAATTTTTTGTAAAAAGTTAGCGCCAATAATAGGACAGTAGTAAATAATGAATGGCCATTGGAAGTTGCGGCGCAATCCTAAATCAACAGATATCAGGCGTTCACCAAAAGTTTGAATAGGAGTTCCATTTGTTACATAAAGTTGTAACTTGATAAGGCGCTTTTGTTCGTGAAAATGTGGTGGAAGGACAGAAACATCAGCCCCGGTGTCTACAAGAAACCTTAAGCCTGAATTCTTTCCGATGACGAAAAGGCGTGCAAAATTCCGGCTGCTGTCATTCACGACTTCGAGCAACGGCCCTTCTCGTTTCCCTGTTCGTTATAACGACATAAGGTGGGTGGCATTTTTTTGCCTTGTTTCCAAATTTTTGGTGGTAAAAAACAAATACCCGGAAGAGGGCTTTAATAATGTTTCCTCAGTGACTACGACGTGTATTTCGACCACGTGATGTGGAGCGGTTGCGCTGAAAAGGTTCAGCTTGGATGGCTACTAACTGAGCAACCTGTTTGGACAAATCATCAATTATTGATATTGTGGCCTGTAACATCAATTATTGTAATGTCAATTATTGTACTGTAATGTCAATTATTGTACTGTAATATCAATTATTGTATTGTGGCCAATGATTGATATTGTGGCCTGTAACGCCACAATACGTGGACCAGGAGCCTACATTGCGTGTATTTGCGTAGAAATGGCCAGCTCGTGAATTTTATCAGCGATTTCAGGAAGATTTTTAAGTGGCTCACTACTGGCCGCTAAAATGGTTTGCATGTTAGATGGGAGTCTATTCATCCATAATGTTTTAAGAGTGTTATCCGTTAGGTTACCGGCGGCTAAGTCTGACATTTTAGACAGCAACTGAGAAGGCCTTATATCACCCGGCTGTAAATCGTGCAACAGCTGCTTGATTTTAACTGTCTCGGATTCTTCATAAACAGGAATTGAATTTTTTTAAAAGATTTGTATTTGTCCGTCGCCGATGGATTCAAAATTATTTCACGAGCTGACTGCAGTACCTCTGACTCTAACGCGGCGATCGCTGTATAAAACTGAGTTTCGTCGGCAGTAATGTGACTCAATTTAAACTGCGCATCCAATTGAATGAACCATAACGATGGGTCTCAGCGACAAAAAGGTGGGGCCTTAACTGCCACTCGCGCCATTTGGGAAGCAGCATCGTTGTCAACCACTTTAGATCAATCAAATATGCACAGTAATAATATGTATGGAAAAGTAATCAATATGTATATAGTTACACAGTTTCTTGGTACTTGAAATCAGAGAAATTGGTGGCTCAAATGCAGCCAACGATACATATATCCGCTGAAATTATGACAGAAATATGTTGACTCACCAGAATGCGGCAGAACGCTTGAAATCGCAGGTGAAATGTGTTACTTGCATCTCATTACACTGGATAATTTACTGGTGCTCAGAATTTTGATATATAAACTCCTTATTTGTTCAACATTGAAGGTTGCTATTCTATAACAATTGAATAGAATAAATATTATTTTGTCTTTGGTTGCTATGGGTTATCAGACTGGCAGAGTTGAGTTGTAATAGGCAAGTTGTCACATATCTATTTATCTATAATGTATATTAAACTTTTAATTGTTTAAAAATTGTACTTTTTAAAATCACTTATATAAATATATAAAATAAATAACACCTTTTTAACAAATTCTAGATCATCGTATTGCCTGATTTTTTTCGCCGACACACATGCATTTCTGAATCCAAGGCTTGTGTAGTTAGGTAGTGAATATTCTTAATATATTTTTGAGTATTTTAGGGCAGATTCAGCATTTTATTATTATTTGCATTATTTTCTTATTACGTATATATTCTATACATTATATACTGAAAGTTTTTTTTGTTGGGGGGAGGCGCCAAAAAGGTATTTTGCTCCGGGCGCCAGTTATGCTCGCTACGCCACTGCATAGAGAATAAACCTTGTATCCAAAAACATATTTCTTCTGATTTAGATGACCACTGCAGAATTTAATTAAGCTTGTCTGCTGCTCGCCTCCAATAGGATTGGCACCAAGTTATTTGCAAACATACCAATCATGATCAGTGACAGCTGTTCATGATGAACTGATCTTGAGTCTGAACTTTGAAACAAGCTCCGAAAAAAGAGATCTGATGTATCCTTATGGCTATCCACTTTAGCCAACCTGTCAACCATTTCCTTTCTATAGGTGTCTATATGCAATCTTGTTCACTGAAAAAACACCCTATGGTATTCACTGATGGATTTCAATAATGATGAATGTTTTGGACAGCATTCAAAGTAATAAGATTACCATGCTTCCGTGATTTATACCGAAGATGAATAAAAGCTATGACTGTCGTTCAGAATGTAGACATCTTTGCCAAGATTAGTAATCATTTTACAATTATTTCTGTTGATTATTACATTCATTTAATGCAAATTCACGTAATGCACATTAATTGATATATGAATTGGTACTATTCCATTAGAGCAACGTCAGTTAAAAATGAAGATAAATGAGAAGAAAACAATGCTACAACAACATGCTAGATATCGGGGCTCGAGATCTTAGCTCCAGTTTTCATTTGAAATATCATCACACATTTTTTTCTCCCCATATTTCGCCATTTTTTTAATACGATGAACTACACAATTTAGGAATTACCTAATGATGAAGAAGCTGCCTTAAGATTCCTTCAGAGCAAAGGAATAATTCATAGCAATTGACTTTGTTCTCAGAATCATTCAATGAAGTTAGTTTTTGACAAACAAAGCTCTTATATGCCATTGTTACGTATGTTTCTTGCTTTTAAAAAAGGGATTGAGAATCAAAATATGGTTTGAAGGCTCACGTCTTTCTTTCCTCAGTGCCGTTTGTTTCATCTATCTGTGTGTTAGGAATTGACGTCGATTGAATTTTTCCAACTTGAGTTAGAAATCAGCTATAATAGGACAGTAGATTAGAATAACTACTTGAGGGAGGTATATTACAACATAGATAGATTAGAATTAGGACAGTAGATTAGAATAACTACTTGTGCAAATAGTTTGATGTCTTGTAAAAAAAATAAAATCGGTCGAACCAACAGAATCGTAGAAATCGAATACAATTTTGTTTTAAGTCTTTTCACAAAATTCTTTTTGATAAGTCTTTTTACAAATTTAAAAAAAAAAAAAAAAAAAAAAAAAATTGGATATGTTCTTCTGAAACAATAAGTATTCGGGGATTTATGCCAGGAAAGCAAAGAATGTTTTCTGGTCGGCGTTTCCGGTCGTTGTGTTACAACATTGAAGACTGCCATTCAGGAAAACATCGCGAATGGCAACATAATATTTTCAGACTGCTGGAAAGAACATAAGAAATAGGAATTAAGAAATGTTCAACATTTCACTGTGAATCACAGTTATAATTTTTAGGCCCAGAAAATAGATGCCATACCCAAACTGTGGAGCGATTGTGGCGCAGTGCTAAGTGGAGAAATAAATTTCAGTGGAGCACTGCTCACCACCATTGAGTCGTATTTGATAGAATTTATGTGGTGTCTGTTATATTCAAAAACTGAAATTTTTCTATAATATTGAATGATATTTTTTATTTTATGCGACCTGTGCAGGTCAAATTTCCCTTCATTTTATTATTTTTTATTTATGTATAGAATATTTTTTATGCCACCTGTTTAGATCAAATTTTGTTTTGTTTTGTTATTTTTTATTTATGTGTAGAATACTTTAGATTAAAAAGAAAATATTTACTTTCTTTCAGAATTATGAAATTAAAAAAAATTACTTTTCACAGAAGTAATTTTTTTAGTCTTTAAGCTTTATTATTATTTCATAATTTTATACTTGGCAACAGTTGATAGCCCCCCAAAAAGTGGCACATTTTTAATTGATGCCACTTTAATAGAATAGTACCTATGAATTAACCATATTAATAGGAGGTTTTCCCAAGTAGCACAGCAACGTCGGAACGACGTTGCAAACTCGAATGTATTTGCAAAAGTAGATGTATTTGCAAGCCGAATGTATTTGCAAAAACTTTGCAATATGTGTATCTTTAAGATGCCCAGATGTCTGCGAAACTCCACTGTTCTGCAACCGTTGCAAAAATGTCTTTATTACGTCTTTGCAGATGAGGTTTTTGTCGCATAGACGTCGTTATTGCATCTTTCGCAGGTAATATTTTGGTTGTGAAAGCATCGTATCACGACATCTTAAAGACGCCTAAATGTTCGCAAAATTCCACCTTTTGCAACAGTTTTGAAAATGTCGTTATTATGTCCTTGTGTTACATAATGATTTATGGAGAAAAATAGGCTTAACAATTAATATATTTTTCTTCTTTTTTAAAATTTTGTATTCCTTGTATTTATTTAAAGTTTAAATATTTTATCATTACTTGAAGAGAATACAGTTTTTTTCTCTTTAGACTAAATATGCATAATTAATAATAGCTTTAATTATTTTCAGTACTTTAAACTATATTTTTTAAATAACTTGAATTCTAAGTTACGATTCTTTAAGATTTCATAATTTTTTTCCGTAAGTGAGAATAATTATGAAAATGGTTATTATAAATATATAACATTAATAGTAGGTTTTAAGAAAATAAAACTCAATTAGACATAAATAAAAGTAAATATATATATGTGTGTAAAAAAAAAGAGGATTATAACAGCATTATCACATTTAGTTCTGTTAAATCTTAGAGATATTGAAAATTGCACCTGTCGTGATAAATTAGGAAGCGGTTCTTAAGGTAACATAAATCAGTATTTTACCTGAACTCAAGTATAAATTTATTCGAGTTTCACAGTAAAAAATATAACCATTAACTTCTATCTCTCCAAGATATGCAAATGAAAGACAGTATAAAGTAGTTAATAAATGTGATTAAAAATATACCTAAATCTAATAACTTCCTATATTCATATCTAAAATGAAATAATAACCTAACAAACAACATACATGACAGCACTATTTAAGAAAAAAACATGAACTAGTAGTGTTTGAAAGTATAAATAGCGGAAGGAAGGTAACAGAACTAATATTTCCAATTAATAAAAAAATTTGTGTTTTTTAAATAGTAAGCAATTAAAAGTGCAATAATTATGGATTGCAGTATTTACTAGTAATGCTGATGTTTCTTAACATCGTTTCATTCGATCATATGTTAATGTATTTACTTATTTTTAGTTTCTACATTTTAGAATAGTGATAGATTACAATGATTATTTCATGCGCTTTTTATAATCAATATCTTCCCTTTTGTTACTGTACTGAAATAATATAGTATACGATAGTAAGCTAAGGATGTTAAAGTAAGCTCTTCGTTAAATAGCACACGATGAAACTTTTTGTTTCTATTTATTATGAATTTCTTTTTTATCAGAAGCATATAAAAAGTAAGCGAAGAAAATAGAATTACTTAAATTTAATAAAAAATAAAACCTAATTCCCAACATTCATTTATTGAGATAATCTAATAAACAAACATAATGGCAATATATATAAAAAAAAAAAAAAAAAAAAAAAAAAAAACCGTGAATTACGCAGTGTTTGGAAGAATAGATATCAAATAAAAAGTAATAAAACTGCAATTTGCAATCAATAAAAAGTATTTAGTGTTTTTAATATTACACAATTAAATAACACATAATTATAGATTACAATATTTCGTAGAAATTCTAATGTTTCGTTAATACTGGTTTTTTGATCATATGCGGAAAGTCTGAGAAGCAACCTGTTCGTTTAATAGGAGTGATATACGATATAGCACTTAGGACGTTATAACCGAATTCATGTATCCAAATATTGCACCGCTGGAGCCACTGATTGGAGACAGACACTATTTCCACAAAGACGCTATTTCATAAACCACAGAGACAATATTTCACGAACACTATATTCCACAGACCACTATAGACCGCAGAGACACCATTTCACGAACACTAGATTCACGATTAGCATTGTAGCATTTATTGTACAGCAGATATTCACACACAAAATAAGCACAAATTCATTCTCATGATTTCTCCTCAATTCAGAGGCTTCCAAACAGGAGCTCACAGCAATGAAATTTCACTTGCTGAAGGCAGTTGAAGTAAGTAGATATAGAACAATGAGAAGATTCACAATGCATTCTGACAGTGCATTAGATTGTAATATAAGAAATATTATTTATATGAGTCATTGCTTGATTCAATTTCAAACATGAAGTCAGTCTTTCAATAGCCTTACAGATGGCATCTTCACCAAATTACTTGAAAGACTTCTAGAATCTGAATTAATTGCACAGTTGCTTGTTCGAATTTGGAAGCTAGCCAAAGCCCGTAAATCTTGAGATGTTCATTTATATAAGCACCCAGTAAATAATGTACAGGTCTGCTTCTGCTGACTGTTAATGAGTTTTCTGTCATATCTATTGGATAGCCGTGAATTAGTCCTTACTTCAAAAATAAGAAATAAAGTCATAGTTCAGTAGTGAAGTAATTGCTACCATGTGATTTGCATTGATTTCGGAAATATGACTTTTTAAAGTATATAAAATGCGTAACTTAATACAGTACAAAGTCTTTAATCCGGACCTCAAAGCTACAAACTTTATGCGCATGCGTTTACGCATGCACATAATACGTTTACGCATGCACGTAAAGAGAAGAGATACTGTTCATAGAAAGAGACTATTTATAGAAGAGAGAATTAAAGAGAATGTATTAGCACAAAAAACGAAGCAACTTAAACAACTTACATTGAAAGAAATGTTTAATAAAGTAAACAAATAAATACTGAGCCTCTCTTCTTTTTCTCCTCTTTTTTTTTTTTTTTTTTTTTTTTTTTTTTTTTTTTTTTTTTTTTGTGTGTGTGTGTGTGTGTGAATTTTGATACCCTTTAGATCACAATTGCTCTTTATTTCATAAATTACGGTTTCATATTTTTAATTGTATAATTTCTGCATGCCATCTTACCAGATTTAAATTGATGATCTATAATCCGGAAAAACTTCTAATCTGGAATCGCCGAAGTCTGGATTACGCACTTTGTATTGTAACTTATTTTATAGATTAGTTTCATTTTAAAATATTTTGCTATATTTATTAAAAATATTTTAAGTATTAATTATTTTAAACACTTATTTAGCACGTATTTTTAGTACTAATAAAATTTAATAAATCAAAAGTATTTATATTGAATTTACATTTCATTAGATGAATCTACCTTAGATTAATATATTTAGATGAAATAAAGTCATGAAACATTGCAAAGTAAATCTTATGCGGGCTTCAGATTCTTAAAAGGGCAGATTTAGTCTCTTTTCATTCTAAAAGTAATGCTGATGAACTAAAAAAAAAATGCTAAAACGACCACATCTAAAAGTGGTTATATCATCATGTTTCAGCGACATCGACAAATTGCCAAGATGCAACGGCAAATATTTTGCAACATTGTACCAATTTGCAACATCTTTACAACGCCGTGCGCTACTTGGGTTGTGTGTATGAAAATTCAAAAAAAAAAAAAAAAAGTGTAAATTTAGTGTAAAGTAAAATTAAGTGTTAAAATTATGGAGATGATAATAGGACATATGAATTCTACAATATAATATGTGGTCTAGTCCTTCACATTAAAAATGTATGGGTAACTGTTATCATCTGCTTTATTAATTTAATATAAACATGGTTAAAATTAAGTATTTATTAATTTTAATATAAACATGGTTGTTTTATGTAAATATGTATAATATTTTGTTAATATAATTTGTGAGTACCAACAGTATTTAATTTCAATTATTGCTGTTCTAGAAAGGAATTCTAAAGATGTAACGCTAGTTATGCTTACATTTATCTCAACTTGCCTGAAAATTTCAGTATTTAAATCTAACTTAGTTATATTAAAATGATAAATTTGTATATGTACATTTTTATTTATTCCAATTTTAAAACTCTTGAAATATTGCAAAGAAGAATGTTATGTGAAATGTGTGGATGTGCATATATGAACTTCATATATGTGTTATAATAGAGAGAGAGAAATTGTATAGAATTTTATGTAGTACATATGATATCAGTTTATCATTTGGTAAAATCCTAGTACATGGCATGGCCTTGGTGTAATTTTGAAAATTATCGCCTGCACCAAAATGACTTATTTATCGCTGCTGGGATATAATGTTGCCAAATCCTGTGTGTACTGTATGGAAAGATTAAACCTTTTATTTTTATGCTTAATTAATAATTATATAGTGCATTTGTTTTAATAACATGGAAAAATATTTTTATTTTATCTATTATTAGTTATGCTTTTTTGGTTTTGGACAATCAAAATTTACAAGAATTATGGGATCCAAAAAGTCGCAAAGAACAACCATTGCGTATATTAAATGGTAGAATTTTCTTCCATTTCAATTCTAAGCTTTGCCCAAAAAAGATAGAAGAGTTAAAAGAATATGCTAAAAAACTGGAATGGGATGACAGAGATGTATCACCAAGCTCAAATGGAGATAGAATTGCATGTATGTATACATTAAAATTAATGATTTATTCATTTCTCATATTTAAATTTAATAACTTTTTATCTTTTCAATAAAATGCACTTAAAAATGTATTTCTTTTTTAGCTAACGCAGCATTTCTTGATCAATTATAATTTAAAATTAAATCATGACGTTGTTAATGGTAGCAGATCATTAAATCAAAATGATCAGAGAAATTCTACTATTTCTTAAAATTCTATTAATATCATAATACTGTCTTTTGTCCTACAATTGTATTTTTAATATCATGTGATCAAGTATGTCATGATAACAACAAAAATTACATTTTATCATATTTTATGCTACTTTTAAAAATGCAACTTTTAAAGAGTTATATCCATATCTGTCTACCTACACACACATGCCCGCATGCACAAATATAATTTAAATCATATTTAAATAAGGCAAAGTAAAAAAAAAATTAACAAAACAGTTGTTCTGTCAATATGTTCAACATTTTTTATCCTCCAAATTTAAATTCATTTTCATTTTATTTTTCTCGCATACCAATTTATTAGAATTTATTTTTTGCCATTTTTATTTCATTTGGTGCCTATTGGAAGAGTTTCTAACTCTTACATCAATAATTTTTTCATTTTTACTGAATTTCAACCAAATACAAAAATGTTTACTAATACAGTCAAAAGTCGTTAATTCGGACACCCATAATTCGGACCTCAGAGCTAAAACCTTTCTGCGCATAGGCGTTTACGCGTGTGCATAAGACCTTTATGACTGCGCATGTGGGTGTGCGCAAGCGCAGAATACGTTTTCGCGTGCGCATAACGGACGGTATAAGCTAAAATTATCTAATTATCTATTTCAGTTAATGTTGATGATTGCATTGTTCCTTAATCTTCGAATTGGATCCGGCTTATTATTTTTTGCAGACTGTAAGAGCAATTTTATAAAAGTAAGCTTGAACTTTTGATTATGTCAAATAGAATTTCCGATGCTGGAGCTCCCAAAGGATCTACAAAACGAAAGTATGTTGCGATGTCCATCAAACAAAAAGTGGAATTGCTCCAAAAATGGATAAAGTCAATTTCCTGACCGTTCCGACCGTTCCGCGCGGGGGGGGGAGGGGGAAATTTCGCTGACGCAATGCAATGAAGTGGATTCAGCACTTTCAGGCAATGTATATTTCTCGATGTACTCCGTCTTTGATATGATTTAAATCAAATTCTCGTCATAAATATCACGAAGAATTCAAATAGTTTTCTGGTTGCAATTTTTAATTTCGGCTATGCATAATGTATGCTTTACGCATGTGCATATTGAAAGAAATGTTTAATAAAATAAACAAATAAATATTAAGCTTTTTTTTTTTTTTTTTAATTATGATACTCTTTAGATCATAATTGCTCATTGTTTTATAAATTATGGTTTCATATTTTTAATTTTATAATTTCTGCATGCCATCTTACCAGATTTAAACTGATGATCTATAATCTGGAAAAATCGATAATCCAGAATCGCCGAAGTCCCGACGAGTCCGGATTAAAGACTTTTGACTGTATTTAGGAAAATCTTGCATTTGTTATAAAAATAAAACACAAAAAGTTTAACTCCTTTACAGCAAAAACTGACTGAGGTATGTGGTATTGAAATTGTAGATCTTATTTAAGGGCTGTTGAAGAGCAAAATGTTTGCATTTGTATGTAATTAAAAATTAAATATCAGTTTAGATAAAGGTTTCTAATGCTGAAAGATTAAGTGATAAGCATTTCTATGTGGATTATTGTAAAAACCATTGATCATTATAATTTTTTCCATGATGGAGATCTTACTCATGAAGCTTATAGAAAGCACTGTAAAATCTCTGTATTTGCAGGCAGCCAACTCATAATATTTGCATGAATTAAAAATTAAAAATATTTATAGTTTAAAGAATTTTTGTACAATTACCAAATTGTGATTCTAAAGTAAAACTTAATGAGAATATTAATAACGTATTTTTTTACCTTAAATACTTATGTGAAATATTTAGTATTTGCATGAATATTGTTTCTTCATACAAAATGTAAGAAACTTATAAATAAAAGACCTTAATAAATCGGGAGGGGAGAAAGCATCATAAAATAACATTTGAAAAGAAGGAAAATCGACCTAGATTTTTTTTTCAATTATTTCCTAGTCAACCCCTCAATTCAAATTGAATAAGACATAAAAAATAGCAGATCTTGAAATTAAATATCTCAGCCAATGTGTATCCTATACAGTCAAAAGTCGTTAATCCGGACTCGTCGGGACTTTGATTCTGGATTATAGATCATCAGTTTAAATCTGGTAAGGTGGCATGCAGAAATTATAAAATTAAAAATATAAAACCGTAATTTATGAAATAAAGAACATATATGATTAAAGGGTATCAAAATTTACAAATAAAAGCTTAATAATTACTTGTTTACTTTATTAAACATTTCTTTCAATGTAAGTTGTTTAAGTTGCTTCGTTTTATGTGATAATACTTTCTCTTTAATTCTATAAACAGACATAATTTCTTGTTCAGTTACAAAGTTCCGCTGTTTAAGTCCTATAATTGCTGTGTCGAGAATACCGACTAATTTGTGAATCGAAATTTTTTCGTTTTCAATAACCTCTGTGTCACTTTCTTCACTATCAGAAGCAAATTATAATGACGAGGAATTTGATTTAAATCATATCAAAGACAGAATACATCGAGATGAATACTACATTTAGTAAGGAATTATAAGCCAAATAAAATAAAAACATCTGACTTGATGATAAGGATAGTACTGACAGATCAACTTCCAATTCATTGCCCCCCCCCTCGCCGCAAAGCAGTGTGAAATTGAGAAACAGGTTTTGGAATGGTTTGAGAAACAAAGGATATGCCTTTATCCAATTTTTGCAGCAATTCCACTTTTTGTTTGATGGACATCGAAACATACTTTCGCATTGTAGATCCTTTGGGAGCTCCAGCATCGGAAATTCTATTTGACATAATCGAAAGTTCAAGCTTACTTTTATAAAATTGCTCTAACAGTCTGCAAAAAGTAATAAGCTGGATCTAATTCGAAGATTAAGTAACAACGCAATCTGCAACATTAACTGAAATAGATAATTTTAGCTTATACCGTCCGTTATACATTAAACGCGCTTGCGTAAACGTCTTATGCTCAGCCGTAAAGGTCTTACGTGCTTGCATAAACGCCTATGTCAAACGTCATGCGTCTATGCGTAACGTCATATGTCTATGCTTAAACATCAATGCGATGCATGCGCAGAAAGTTTGTAGCTTTGAGGTCCGGATTATAGATCATTCCGGATTATGGGTGTCCTAATTAACGACTTTTGACTGTAGTAGTCAAACATGTTATGTTCACTTTTTTTTTTAAATGCTTAGAAAATTTTTCTAGGAAGAAGGCATAAAAAGTTAGATTTCAAAATTTTTACAAAATTGATTTCTTTAAATTTAAAAATGTCAAAATATGGATCTTTGGGCTATTTAAAATAATTTAATTTTTGTTATTGAAAGTATATAGCTATGACCAGTGGTTGTGAAAATAAAGACTGGATAAAGGAACTTTTGTAGACATATTGTATGTATACATAATACATACATAATATTTTATACAACCATAATTACAAAGTGGTAGGTGTTCTGCTGATTAACAGAATTTGTGTTTTATATTGCTGCATTGAGGATTAAAAAATTTTAAGGCCATAATTTGGCATATTATTAGTTTATAAAGTTTGTTGTTTCCAAGCAATGCCACATGATCTCTGAAGGGGAAAGTGGTGCAATGTTATTTAATTGTAACTCTCTTGATTAATACTTTTTTAAATTATAACTGTTTCAAAAGAGCACAAAGCGTTGATATTATAATAGATGGAAATATCAAGGTTTCAAAATTACTAATTTTTCTTGTAATCAGAGTTAGTCTAAGGTATTTTTATGCTTTAGGCATATAGCACTGCTTCTATTTAAATACTATAAAAATTTCCACTTCCTTTTTTTTTTTTTTTTTTTTAATTATTAAACAATGATAAGATTATATATTTTTTTATTATTATAGAAGTATTATGAAACAAAATAAAAAGAAGACGTGAACTTTCTCTGATTAAAACTGATAAGTACATATAAATAAGACTGTTTTTATTAAAAACATAATAGCTGTAAAATAAAATGCCAAAATACATAATTGTATGTGTAAAAATATATTTGTAGAATCTTTTATCAAAATCTGTTTCCTGAGAACTTGGAGTTAAAAAAATCTGAATCTATTTCAACATTAAAATATTTGACTGTATTTAGCTGCTAAATAAGTTTATTTACATTGTTGTCTGATATGTTTTCCCTTAAGAAATTCTCAATATTATCATAATACAGTCAAAAGTCATTAATCCGGACTTGTCGGGACTTCGGCGATTCCGGATTATCGATTTTTCCGGATTATAGATCATCAGTTTAAATCTCGTAAGATGGCATGCACAAATTCTAAAATTAAAATATGAAACGTATTTTAGGAAATAAAGAACAATATGATCTAAAGGGTATCAAATTACAAAAAGAAGCTAATATTTATTTGTTTACTTTATTATTAAACATTTCTTTCAATGTAAGTTGTTTCGTTTTATGTGATAATACTTTCTCTTTAATTCTATATAAACAGACATAATTTCTTGTTCAGTTAAAAGCTCCACTGTTCAAGTCCCTAATTGCTGTGCCGAGAATACCGACTAACTTGTCAATCGAAATTTTTCGTTTTCACTACCTCTCATCACCTTCTTCATCATGTCTTTATCCATTTTTTGCAGCAATTCCAACTTTTTGTTTGACGGACATCGAGACATACTTTCGTTTTGTAGTCCTTTGGGAGCTCCCTTTGACCAGAATCTGAAATTGACTATAACGAAGTTCAAGTTTACTTTATAAAATTGCTCTTACAGTCTGCAAAAAATAATAAGCTGCATCCAATTTGAAGATTAAGGAATAACGCAAGCATCAACATT